GTCAGAGTAGAACTGTGCTCACAGGGTTCTCAGTGGATGATTTTTCATAAGTAGATTCCACTCATGGTGCTCCTGTGTGTGTCAGAGTAGAACTGTGCTCACAGGGTTCTCAGTGGATGATTTTTCAGAGGTTGATTACCAGGATTTTCTCCCCAGTTACCTTTGGGTGGCCTTGAACTTCTGTTAGTTAGCAGCTGAGCATGTGACAGTCTGTACCATACAAGGACCCCTAACAAAGGTCAAGGACTTTATATTGCATATAGCAGAGAGTGAACCATCAATACACAATTATGTCCCAATAGAGTTGGGTCTCCAAGACATATTGGATGATAAGGGAATTATTTTTAACAGTACCAGATGCATATTGTATCCTTAAATATTTGCTGCATGAATAAACCAAATGGTGCAACATTGGTCTGTAATATTTCCACAGGCTCTTTGGGATGAACTTGAATAACATAACCCACAGAGCACTGGCGGAACTTCGCGTAAAGAAACCTTACTTAGACATTGGCTGCTGAGAGACCCCATCTGCTGCTTCCTCTCTGGAAGCCAGGACAGAGAATGGAGGAGCTGGTCTGCTCATCACCCCAAGACCCATAATGCCAACTAACCAGTTGTTGAATCATCCAGGACTCACGGGGTCCCCATACAACTGTACTCCATAGGGTTTTCAATGACTAATTTGTCTGAAGGAGATTGCCAGGACTTTCTTCCGAGGTGCCTGAGCGGACTGGAGTGGTTCAATTAGCAACCAACCTGAAGAATCTGATCCATGATAAAAAGCAAAAAAATCCAAAATGCCTTTGAGTTGTTTTATTCATAGCAACTGTATTCAGAGCAGAGTGCTTAAAAGATTACTAACAAATTACCTTTCCAGATAATAGTCCATACATAGTTCCAGGACTAGTTGTAAGGCTGCCTCGTCTTTCTCTAGAGGAAAGTCTGGTGGGTCTGAACTTTAAAGGGTAAGCTTTAAACCATGCCTAAACTCCACATCAAGGAGCTCTGGTAGCGTAGTAGTTACGAAACAGGCTGCTACACCTCAAGGTCAGCAGTTCGAAACTACCTACCAGCTGTTCCACTGGAGAAAGAGGAGGTTTTCTACTCCCATTAAGATTTACAGCCTCAGAAACCCTGTGCAAGGTCACTATGAGTCGGAACCGACTCCATGATACTTAACAAACTGCACGTCACAGAAATCGACCTGACTGAGTTTGGTCTTTTTTTTCCTCTTAGGGAAGTCAGAGGAAGTCAGACATAGTGCAGTTAGTTAAAACCTTTGGCACTGTGAGCAGGACGCACTGCAGTGTCCAGATCTATAAAGTTGTGGTTTTGTGGGAGAAAGATGCAGGTAATGCATAAAATATTTCAGCGGAGGGATAAGCAGCAGCTTCCGGCGTTGCCCGGAGCCAATGACGTGCTGGTTAATAAGATATGATAGTAGGCCTGGGACTACTGGAATCCAGTCTTCCAGAGGCAGTTTTAGTTTAAGATAAATTAGATGCACTGGGGGAGGCAGGCTTACCAAACATTAAGGTACACACTGAAATGTCTCAGCAAGCTGGCACTTACTCATCTATGCAGGTATTTGAGACAGCTACCTGGCCAGCTTGAGGACTAAGGTGTGCCTGACTCAAGGTATGGTATTTTCAGCATGCATGCAATATGTATGTGAAAGCTGGACAGTGAATAAGGAAGACCATAGAAGAATTGATGTATTTGAGTTATGGTGTTGGAGAATGTTGAAAAGTGCCATGGACTGCCAAAGGAACCAACAGATCTGTGTTAGAAGAGGTGCAGCCAGAGCGCCCCCTGGAGGCCAGGATGGCCAAACTATGTCTCTCATATTTTGGACATATTGTCAGGAGGGACCAGTCGCTGGAGAAGGACATCATGTTTGGTAAAGTGGAGGGTCAGAGAAAAAGAAGACCCCCAACGAGATGGATTGACAGCATCAATGGGATCAAGCGTGGCAACAATTGTGAGGCTGACCCAGGACCAGGCAGTGTTTCGTTCTGTTGTGCATAAGGTCCCTATGGGTCGGTACCGACTCGATGGCTCCTAACAACCTGGCCAGCTCATTGCAAAAGACCCACAGCTGTGCCCTTTCTAAAGAGTTAACCCAAAGGAATGTGGAAATCACGTGAAAGTACGTTTTGCTAAAGATAATCCAAAAGATGGCTACAACAGGAAAATGTCAGGGCTGAGGGATATCATTCCTGAAATCTGGTAGACCCCAGCTGAAACCAGATAGCTGCTTGACTAGACTGGATGGTGTGGATCATGACAAGATTGTGGGGAATGAGTATCCCTGAAGACTTAATTGTGCTCATGAACCTATACAAGACGCGAACACTGAATGGCTTAAAATTAGGAAAGGTGTGCACGCCAGGGTTATATTCTTCCACTATAGTTACTGAATCTGCACGCCGAGCAAAACTTGGCATCAGGATTGGATGATGCGTTAACCTGCGTGCAGATGGCACCTTACTTGCTGAAATCGCTTAACATACTGAGCTATCCATCTGTCAACCTGAGCCATGGTTCCCAGTTGCTTGCTATGGGCATAGTTATGTCTATGCTGGGCATGTCTGGTTTCCCAGACACACCCCCAAGAGACCTCCTGCTCTCCACTTCCTGGCCCACTCAGCTCTGTGCTCCGCCCTGCCGTCCCAGGTCAAAGTCCTGCTGTGTCCTGACTTGGAATTCCTGCCATCTGGAGCAGCCTGCAGATCAATTGTGAGACGCCCCCTGGGACATCCTACTTGGTAAAGTGCATGGTCAAAAGAGAAGACCACCCCCTCCCAGTTCCGCCACCACCAAATATGGATTGTCAGTGTCAGCAATGAGCTCCCGGGACAGGTTGTCTTTCATGTTTGCACTTGTTTTGATGAAAGACACCACTCCCTTAAAAAAAAAAAAGTCCCGAGAGTGTGTTTCTTTGGAGGGATGGGGAATATAAGGTGATAACTCATAGCTCTGGTAGCATAGTGATTATGAATTGGGCAGCGCAACTGCAAGGTCAGCAGTTCAGCAGTTCGAAACTAGCTGTGCAGCTGGGAAAAGATAGGGCTTTCTGCTCCCTTAGTAAAAGATTCAGTCTCATAAACAGATGGCCTTGTGGTGGGGTGCTGTAGGATCTGGAGTCCAAACCTTTGATGGAACTATGAAAAGGTGTGACTTACATATGGGAACTAATGACATGGCTCCATATTTGCATAAAATGAAGTATTCCAGGCATTGTGTGAAATCCTTTGTTTCCTGGCTATTTTGCTCCTTTCCTGATTGATCCTGGGTTTGGATGTTGATTTTAATGTACTATAAATTGTCCTCTGGGCAATGCATCTGCTACATCCCAAAAGGATATATACTGGAAAGCTCGCCCTATGCAGGGTTGCTGAATCAGAACACAATTATGCAGACATTTTTTATGTAAGGTTTTTATTGTGGATTGAGTAAGTTTACAGGGCAGATCAACAGTTTTACATGCACCAAATCATACACCTTGTTTCATTACAATGATTATAATCCCCTCCATGTACACCAGTTAACAGTATTTTATTCACTTTAGCTTTTTTTAAAAAAACTCAGGCATATATAAATATTTACACCAAAGGACACATTCTGCAAGTCTGCCTCCTGGCCACCAGCTCTCAGAGCCCAGAGTCCTCAGCTGCTCCCTCTTCTCCATGTCTCCATCTCTGCCTCCATGCAAAGAGACATTTGAAGCTGAATTTAATTCAGAAAGAATTGAAAAAGAAATCAAAATTTCATACAAATGTTCACAGTATCAAACCAGCAACACTGTGGCTACCCATAAAGCTGGATCCACAAAACTGCTACCTACTAGAATATGGGCGAACCAAGTTGGTGCTAGACAAGGGTAGAGGTGTCAGGTGATGGGAGAGGAACTGGAGATATCAATATCAGATGCTTGCCTCAAACAGTAACACTCAAAATAGAAGCACTTTCCAGCTGAGACTACAGTAAGCACTCCCATTCTGAGGATCACAGTCTGAGCTGTTCCTCTAGTCACTTTCATGATTCTTTGGCTCAAATGCAGTGTCCTGGCGTGGCACTGTGGGTTAATGCGCCAAGGTTTGTGGTTCAAACTCACCATCAGCTGCTTCTCTGAAGTCACTTAATGCTGCTTCCCTCAAACTGAGACACTCAAAATGGAAGCACTTTCCAGCAATGCCCACAGCCAAGAGCTTCCATTCTGAGGATCACGGATCTGAGTCACTTCATTTGGGTTCCAGTGGTTGGGTCACGCTACCTGTCAAGGTCCGTTTCTAAAGAATGAACCTTTGGTTCTTTAAGTACTCTGGAACACAACTTTCCCCCAGGAGTGGTACAGTGGTTAAGTGACTGTTATCCAAATGTTGGATAAATTCTGCCACAAAAGGCAACCCTGAAGACAACCAAACCTGAAGGTACTTTTCTTTCACATGTAAGAACTGGTCTTAAGTCACCATGAAGATGTGGCAACTTTAGAAAGGCTCTGGGGCAATCCGGCCCTACAGGGTCACTGTTGTGGAAATGGGTAAGACCATGCAGACTGGCAGCCGTGGTGGCAGTGGTTCAGTGCTTGGCAGTTAGACAAAGGTTGCTAGTGGGTTCCAATCACCAGCCTTCTGTCTAACAGCTCAGCTTCATCAAGGTGCACCCCACAATAAGGAAGTGCACTGTTGACTCTGAACTCCAATTCATTGAAATCCAAAGGATGGCACCTTATCTGAAGCCTTGGAAATCTCCAGGACTATTTTTTCTGCTCAGTTGAGAAAAGTGAGGATTCCAATGAATACTGCACTGAGCCTCATTGAACAAAACAAATGCCCGTCCCCAGAGCTCCCGCAAATGTCTTCTCTAGGTAGACAGTGCCCACCATTAATACACAAATCCAGAAGCACTTTCTAGACATAAAAAAAAAAAGTACCTCTGTATTTGAGTACCACTGGCTAGGCAGCTTCTCAAGACTTTTTGGAGGTGGTCTAACTAAATCCCATTTTCTAATTGTACAGTGTAGTATCTGCTCTAAGCAAGTAGAGGGAGCTTCAAAAAGTTGAATTTTGTCCTAAGATGTTCATGGCATTCTCAGTGAGTAACTCAAAAAATGTCAGCACTTCTGTACATAAAAAAACATGAGATGTAGCCCTCATTCATCTTCCAAGGAGATGCTGAAACAGTGAGGATAAACATGGCACCAATATTAAAGGGGAGTCCTGGTGTGGCGCTCTGTCAGGATGTCAGACTGCAAAGTCGGCGGTTCAAGCTCACCAGCTGCTCCTTAGGTTTCCATGTATTGGAATCGACTGGAGGGCACTTATAATAGAGTTCTGGTGTAAAACTGTAGGGGGCAAGTACTTACATTAAGTTTGATGCACAAGGTCAGTCATTCAAACTCACCAGCTGCTCCTTGGAAACACTATACAGGGTTACTAAGTTGGAACCTAGCAGTTAAAATATTACAAGGGGGAAACCTAGACCACAGAAGAACACAGCATAAGATGAAAGATGT